TCCCAAGGCAGCAGCCCAGGGAGCGCCGTGGCTCCTGGCTCCCCTACTCTTGTGTGCTCTTCCCTCCAGGGGCATGATGCACCAGCCACTGGGAGAGCAAAGCTTGGGGCCACTTCCTGAGCCCAACCACCGCAGATGGAACTGCCGCGGGGGGCAGCTTAGCAGCCCACATCGAGCATGAATCAGCAGTGGCCATAAAATGAGAGGGAAACAGGAAATCTGGCTCAGGCCAGTAGCAGCAGCCGCCACCTGCTTCCCTCCCCACCCCCGAGCGTGGAGCGGAGGGGGCCTGCCAGACACGGAGGCTTTCAAAGGCAGGCCTCCTCCTTTCTTGACTTTTCCCTCCCTTCCCCTCCTCCTCTCCCTCGCCTTCTCTGCCCCTCGCAGCTTCCCAGCTCCCATTTCTAACCCCCTCAAATCCTCTTTCTGTTGGCCAGTTCATTTCCTCTTTTCTATGCCAGAGCATCTTTCTCCTTCCCTGTCCTTCCTGGCCTCTCACTGCTGGCTGGAGGGACCCGAGGCCCCTCAGCTCCTCCCTGCAGAGCCAGTCTTAGTCCAGAGAGCAGGGCTAGCACACTCAAAGGCATGCCTCCTTTGGAGAGGCAGCCATGGGGCCCAACGGCCCATCTGCCGCACACACTCTCCTCCTGAGCCCAGCGTCCCCAGGGCTCTCTCTGGGCCCACTTCCCAGGTGGCTATCGCTCCTGGGCAAGGCTGCCAGAGCACTAACGTTACTGCTCAAAAAATGAGGAATAACGTTAGTTCGAACCAAGGGGTTTGATTCGAACTAATACGGCCCAGAGCGCACTTCCTGGTTCGAATCAGCTGGCAATCAGAATAGCACGCAGCTAGATTATGCTACTGAAGTGCAGGATATTTAAATCCCCGCTTCATTAGCAATTTCGGTCGGCTACATTTGCATCCCTATCTTGAGATAGGGAGCAAGTGTAGACGTACCCTCTGACTCCTGTAACCCTCGTTGTACAAGGAGTAAGGGAAGTGAGGGGAAGAGTGCTCCACCTCGGGCTTTCTACTGCGTGGACAGCGCCAAAAGCCGAATGAAGCTATTTTGACTTTAGCTACGCTTATTTCAGCTTTGGCCCTGCGGTGTAGACGTGCCCTTACTGATCAGGCTCTAGGAATAAAGGGTTTCCTGGTTTAGATTCCCTCATGCAGGGTCTAGGAGACCTATTGTGACAATTGGACCTCCAAAGGGTGCCCCTATTATGAGTTCAAATGTAAAAAGTATGTGAAAGCTTGTCAAATGTTACAATAACCACAAAAAAGCAGATCAAATTGTTTACAACAGTGAATGTTGTATCCAAATAAAGAAGTTGGATGGGACTAAATACAAAATTCCACGTTGAATTAATCCAAGGACTGTTGAAGTTACTACAGTTGAAGTGACTAGAACAAAATTGATGTAATGGATATCAGGCTTAATTGGTGTATAAAATAACGAGGAGGATGAATTATGATGCCTACTTTTCCCCTTTATGAGTTTTTTAAAAAGGGACATGGAAAGAAGACATGTTCATTTCAGCTCCCCCTCTCATATCCTATCCAACTTGGCATCCCAGATCACTCAACAAATGCTCATCTAAAGGTTTTCTTCTGAGAGGAAGGCCAGCTGACCATGATCTTGTACACGACATTTTGTTTTCAAGCACACAAGATCCTGCTTGTTTTCCCTTGTGTTATTTTCTACCCGCCTCCTTCTATCCTACTCTCACTCTCTTGGCTTTTCATCAAATCCTAACGCCAACAAAGCTGTATTCATCCCAGCCTGCTTGTCTAAGAAGAAAGATTCAATGACATGACATCACTGATCAGATCATAAACCAGGATCCAAGCAGCAGGTGTTGTGGTCAACTTGCTAGCCAGGTTGTAACTGTCCAGCAGGCCAGCATACCAGAAAATACCAACAATACCAACAGAAGCTGTATCTCCCCCTGCTTTTCTATCTGCTCCTCCACCTTGGTCTGTCTGCTCGTTCAGAACAGGAAAAGGAAATGCCCTGGACACACCGGGTCTGAGAGTAAAATATCAAAGGCTTTTCTGAAAATAAGAGTCACTGATATTTGGTCTCCAAATGGAGAAAGGATTTAAAGGTTTGGTTTTGTACAATCATTCAGCCACAGTTCCACTCTGAATGCCTGTTTTGATACCTTGTTCTTTCTAATCAATCCATTTTGAACTTGAATGAGCGCTTCTGGGAGTTTGCCAAGTCACCTAGTAAAACCAAAGCCTAAAATAAGCCGTTTGATCACCGGTTAATGTTGAACAGCAAAAGCGTTTAGAAACCTTGCACTGCTTAGGCCCTTGAGAGCAGTATCTGGACAGCAGGCCTCTAGTAGCTACTCACATGGACAGGGCGGGGGGGGGGGGCAGGGCAGTCTCCATTTCACACACTAATTCCCGACTCTTGTTCCTGTGGCCAGGGCCCAGCACTGAGGTGCGCACCGGGACGGGACGGCACGGACATATGGGGCAGGAATAAGATACCCAGTAACACCCTCAGCTATGCGGGAAGGAGTCTGGGCTGCGAGTGAAATCTCCAGCCTTGCTCCTCAGAAATGACCTTTGGTGGTTGAGACCAGGGTTGCTGGAGGCCTGGATGGTGCCATGTCCTGGAGATCAGCCCGCTCTTGGTCAACAGTGGCTCTGTTGCAGACTGGACTCTGAGGCCTGAGGAGAACAGCAGAGTTAGTGAAAGCTGGGAAAGGCTCTTACAGCTTTGCCCACTAACCCCAAGGAGAGGGAGGCTGCTTTTCTAAAACCGCTTTCCTGGAAGTGCCACTTCAGTCCCCTGTCTGTACGGAGCACACAGAGGTTTGTACACAGACTGGATGTTTTCCTTCACTGCAGCCTCTCTCTCCAGCTCGCTCTCATCAACCAAAAGTGACTAATGCGACGTGGTCAACTAGGAGCTGAGACACGCCAGGCCACAGCTCAAATGTCCTTCCTGTCCTGTGATATCTCAAACCTGCTACTGCCTGGTGAATATTTCATCAGACTGGAATTTGGGTCAAGCACTTTCAAAGCTGTTAGAAACTGGGCCTGGCAGTGGTGCCCAAGGCAGTGAAATACCCAATATGCCTTCCTCCCTTCCCTCCTTCCAGAAGGGAACAAAGCACAACAGGGCAAACCCATGTTCAGGGGCGGCCCGTCCATATAGGCGAACTAGGCGGTCGCCTAGGGCGCCAAGTTAAATGGGGCGCCAAATGGTGGCGCAATATCATTGAGGGGTTTGGAGGTGGGGGCGCCGATTGCATGGTTTGCCTAGGGCGCCAGTTGCTGGCAGCTAGTCTAGGGCCGCCCCTGCCCATGTTGTGGTTTCAAAGGCCAAGGGACTAACAGAAGTGCCAACTGGAATCTGGGAATCATGGGGGCCAGCCTGCTACGCACGGACTGCTAAAGCAAGTGCGCCTGCCCCCTTCCCTTGAGAGGTCTTCAATGCACAGGAGGCTGACAGGAAGGGCTGTGGGTTCTCCTAAGGAGCTGAGCTTGGAGATGTAATCTATATTCTTGCCAGTGAAGCACTCCAGCTGGACCAAACTCTTAGCACTGTGTCGCTATGTTACACTGGGGTTTCCTATTGGTAAGGGGGGAAGGACCCATAACAAAACCAAACCAAACCCCTTTAGCAGAGGGAAAATTTTTCAGTCTTAAAGCCAAGAAATGTTAATTGGATTCAGTGATAAGGATCATGCTGAGCTAAATTCGGTCAGGCTATGTCTAGACTGCAGGCTTCTTCTGGAAGAAGCTTTTCTGGAAGAGATCGTCCGAAAAAACTTCTTCCAAAAGAGAGCATCCACACAGCAAAAGCTCATCAAGAAAGCAATCTGCTTTTTCGACAGATAGTGTCCACACTGAATGGACGCTATCTCGCATTTAAGCCATGATTACTATGGACAGAGTGGCATGGACAGAGTGGCAAAAGAGTTCTTTTGGAAAAAGGCTTCTTCCTCGTAGAAAGAGGTTTACCGATGTTGGGAAAAGCCCCCTCTGTTCTTTCCATTTTTTTTTGAAAGAACGCGATTGCAGTGTGGACGTAAGTGAAGTTTTTTTGGAAAAACTCTGCAGTGTGGACATACCCCCAGACAGCATTACGGCAGGAAACAACCCTTAATGAGCAAGGGCATGAACTCAGAGAGGATGTAATTTGCCTCAGTGAAGAGACAATGCTAGGCCCATGTGCTGTCTATTTCTCGTCCCGCTGTCGCAGCAATAGCTCTATTTTCACAGCTTCAGAAGGGACTTTTCAGGGCTTACATGGGACTTCTGAACCAGGGGAATCTCCGCACAATGTAGTTCATCAGGAAACATTAAAAGGAGCCAACTCTCCCCTTGCCTGGAGAGACCCAAGAGTGGGACTGAGGAAGGGGGAGTTTCACATCCCAGCTGCTTGCTCTGTGGGGTGGATGCCCCCACTACACCCTGCTTCCAAGGGACAATCAGAGGGATGTGACTTCAAGAGGCCACTGTGGAGAGAGGGGTAGTGCTCTACTCCCCAACCGGATCTCTTCTATGGGACTGACACATCCTCATGGGACACCAGCGTGTCCTGCCATTTAGACTTACAGGACTGAAACGTCTTCCCCACCTTGGGTTGTTTGTGTCTGAGCCTGTCAGGGAATCTGCAGGGCAAGGAGGGAAGTGGACATTTCAGCCTGGGGAAGAGTGCAGTAAGAGGAGGGCCTGAAGCAAAAGCCCATGTAGCACAGGCCGGCAGTACGGGACTGTCACCTGGTTTTGTTATATTTGCAGGCAGGATTCTGGACACCAGCAAGAAGCACCTCCTCCCAGCATGCTCTCCCTCCGAAATAGAGGCACAGCTCCCTGTGCACGCGGCTGTCTGTGTGGGGCAGGTAGGCGAGGGGCTCAGCGTGGCTCCTGCAGTAGATGGCATTGATGGAGCTGCCGTCTGTCATGCGGGCCAGCTGTGGATCCGAGGGCCCTATGATATCTTGCAAGGCGCTTCGGGCGTTTGGCCCTCTCACACCTAAAGCCAGCACAGGGGGTACCTTGCCAGCCTCTGGAGCGTAAGCAGAAGGCAGCTTGTCTGTGAAAGATAAACACATGTGACTAATGCCTGGAATCTCCCTTTTCCGGCTCATTCACTCCACTCAAGGTCTCTTCTCAGTTCATTACTCAGCCGAGATGTCTGACAGCTGATCAGTGCCTCTCCAGCACCCCTTCCAGTCTGCCAGCTGTTTCTCCTTGGGTCCCTGCCCACCTCTGGAGGCTCTTGCTTTGGCACTGCCGGTTACACTGCGATCTCTTCCCCTGTGTGGGCAGGGCCGATGCTTTGCAATAACACACGCAAGCCCAGGTTTTCCCACTGGCCTGCAGCTCAGGCAGGAGGAGATGCAGCAGGCCTGAGCCCTCCACGCAACCAGGTCTAATTAGGGCTGATTAAATTAAACCTCACCTAGTTAGCCCCCACCAGCATTGTCTAGTCTAAACCCCTGCCAAGATGCAGGATTTGTTGGGTGCCATGGAGGGCTAGGGGTGCACCAGTGTCCAAGGCCCCTGTAATGGCAGGAAATTGAGCTGGTGAGATATACCCAGATGAACCTAACAACAACTTGTGGCCCATACGGCAGGGGAAGGCAAAAACTCCTAGTTCTTTGCCAATATGACCTGGGGGAAAATGTCTTCCCAGCCCTAAAGTTCAGGATCAGTTTGATCCTGAGCATGTGAACAAGACCCACTGGCCATGCGTTTAACTAAGCGAATTCTCTGCACCATCTCAGGGTACCAGCCACCCTGCCCAGTGTCCCATCTCCAGCGATGGTCATCACTAATGCTGCAGTAGAAGGGGGAAAAATAAGAACAAACCCAAAACACATTTTGAGGGAAAAAACCCTTCCTGATCCCTGCAGCAGCCTGACTGAAGGCCTGAAGCATGAGAATTAGGAACTGCTGACATGAATTCATGCAGATGAACTGGAAGGGTGATCTCAGGCACTACAGAACAGATAAATAAAGGAGGAAGAGGCTGAAAATACTTGAAAGCAGAAATATATTTGTATTTTTTCATGGTTCAAGCAAAGGCCAGTTTTCAGACCTGTGCTGTGGATCTCAACTCAGCAGAGCTCTGCCAATCTTCTGTGCTTGAATGAGGATTTTATGATTTTATATTTTTTTTATTCACCTTGGGTATGTCTACACTACCACCCTAGCTCGAACTAGGGTGGTTAATGTAGTCATACGAACTTGCAAATGAAGCCCGGGATTTGAATTTCCCGGGCTTCATTTGCATGTTGCTGGGCGCCGCCATTTTTAAATGTCCGCTAGTGTGGACTCCGTGCCCACGGCTACACGCGGCACGAACTAGGTAGTTCGGACTAGGCTTCCTATTCCGAACTACCTGTATGCCTCGTTCCACGTACAGGTAGTTCGGAATAGGAAGCCTAGTCCGAACTACCTAAATGCACTATGCCGCGTGTAGCCGCGGGCACGGAGTCTGCACTAGCGGACATTTAAAAATGGCGGCGCCCGGCAACATGCAAATGAAGCCCGGGAAATTCAAATCCCGGGCTTCATTTGCAAGTTCGTATGACTACATTAACCACTCTAGTTCGAGCTAGGGGGGTAGTGTAGACAGACCCTTACTGTGGTGTTGTGTAAGTTGTGGGTTGCGGGTGACCCCCACTGGCAGCTGTCTGTAAGCACGGCCCAGCAGGGGGCGCCCTACCGCCCCAGGGCAGTGGCTAAAACCAGTTCTACAAGCTAAGGGAAGAGGCTGAACAAAGGAACTGAGGGCTTGGAAGAAGAGCCAGTCTTGGGCTGGAATCACGGAGGAACCAGTCTGAGGAGAGAGCTGGAATCCAGGGCCCTAGGGACCCATCTCAAGGGGTCTGAAGTATCCTGGCCCAGACTCCTGTAAACACATCACATCTAGGCTGTACTGTATCCTGGAGAAGCAATACAACCCCTCTATTCTACCAGCTGGCAGAGTCTGTTCTTGCGGCTCTGGGGGTGCAGGAACGGGGGAACCCTGACTGCGTTGTCACACTTACTAAGCTTCCCATTTGCTTGTGCCAACATATTACAAGCCTACTGCTGAAACAACAGTCAGAATTATGAGCCAGCCTGGGCCCACTGGTTTCAAATGGGACAAGGCAGCAGGGAGCCTGCAGAACTTTTCTCAGTGGTTGAACAGGCCTTGACTGACTTTCCACCCAGCAGAAAGGAAAGTTGCAGCTTGTTTCTCTCCCTTTCAGCCTGCCAATATCCCACCCCAAGAGATACAGAGTACGTGAGCACGTGACCCGAGAGTGTTCCCAGGAGAGCTAGCCTGTACAGAAGCAATCCCAGGACTTGGAAGTTATGTGACGGCTTTCATGCTAGGAAACTGAAGGGCTTATAGTGTAATTAAGTCTCACATTCTCCCTGGGAGGTGGGTTTTATTATGCCTGATTCACTAACAGGGAAACTGAGGCACCGGGCTGCTATTTACGAACATGGATATCTAATGGTATGGATTTAGGGCCAGATCCTCACAAGTATTTCTGCACCTGCCTCCCCCGAATTCAATCAGAACTAGGCACCTTTCCGGATCTGAGCCTAAGTGTCTAACTGCAGGCATCCATGTGTGGATGCACTGCTGGTGCCTCGTCTTCTCTTTAGTCCCCACCCCCGGAGTTAAAAGAAAGGGCAGAAGCCACTTGGCAAAGCATGGGAATCTGGAGGGTGGGTCACCCTTTAGCGTGTCTGGGGCAAGGCCAGGTCAGCAGTCCCAGACACTGCAGTTTCCTCAGAGCCTCCGAGATAAAAGTTGGGGCGGCCATCTACAGAGAAATAGAGGCCAGAAGAACAGCAGCACAGAGACATGAAGAGTATTGGGGAGTAAAAACAGAGGAAATAGCAAAAACTTGCCGAAACTTAACACTTTAACACTGGGGCCAGGCAGACGGGGGCAGGGTATAATCTGACTCCAGAGGAGACTCGAAGGGTCTTGACTGTGGCCATGCTCAGATCCCCCGAACTCCTCTTCCTTTTGAGCAGGTCTGGGCAGGCCTGTGAGCAGATACAGCTAAAGGGGAGCAGCTCTTGCAGCTAGAGGAGGCCTTACCTGTGCTAGAGAGGAGCACGCTGTGCTGGGGATAGAGCAAGCGGAGCCCACAGATATCCAGACCAGCGCGGAGGATCAGCTGTAACGTGTGATGGACAGCCACAGGAGTTCGGAGCAGGGTTTCAAACAGCAACACCACAGCCACCTGGACAGCCAGACAAAGAGTGCAATGGAGGAATGGGTCAAATGGCTCCTACCGCACTTTCTGACAATGTTGAGCTCTCTCTTCTAGTGCAGCGATACTCAGACCTCAGGGCTTTAGAGGGCTAATCAGGGACCCACAAGAGCCACAGTCGTGTGAATTCACTGGTTCATTTACTAGGCTGCTACGTAGTCATTATATGCTATACATAAGGGCTGTGTCTACACTGGCCTCCCTTTCGGAAAAGGGATGCTAATGTAGCACTTTGGAATAGGCAAATCAGCGGGGGATTTAAATATCCCCCACGGCATTTGCATTAACATGGCTGCCGCTTTTTTCCGGCTTGGAGATAAGCCGGAGAAAAGCACCAGTCTAGACGTGATTCTCCGGAAAATAAAGCCTTTTCTGGAGGATCTCTTATTCCTACTTTCAAGAGAATCGCGTCTAGACTGGCGCTTTTCTCTGGCTTATCTTCAAGCCGGAAAAAAGCGGCAGCCATGTTAATGCAAATGCCGTGGGAGATATTTAAATCCCCCACGGATTTGCCTATTCCAAAGTGCTACATTAGCATCCGTTTTCTGGAAGGGAGGCCAGTGTAGACACAGCCGAAATGTATATGCATTATTAGAGTATATATTATACATCATGACATTTTACAAATGCCAATCGGTTAATAACATTGTAAAAGTATCCTGATGAGTCCATCCAAGTTACTATCCAATAATGAAGCCACGGTGTTTTAATATCGTGGGCCTCAAAGACCCACAAGAGTCACATTAATGAGCCACTTGCAGCTCACGAGCTTCAGTCTGAGTCTCTGCTCTAGAGAGAACCAGCCACGCACACCAATGGGGCAGTGGTAGCTCTTCTCTTCAGCAATCCCTGTGCCTTAGCTTACATCCACACACTGGCAGTGGCGCACAGAACACAGGAGCCTATGTGTGTAACTACGTATGGCAGGGAAAGGCTCTGGCAATGGGGAAGGCTCGGGAATCTTTGCCTGCTGCCTTCCCTCACCAGATCCAATTCTTGCTTCCAGAGCTCTTCACGGAATCTAGGAAAGTTCTAGCAGGGGGGAGGCAGCACTGTCTCCTGCCAGAGCCCTTCACTACAATGAGGAAAGCTCCAGCAGCCGGGAAGAAGCAGGACACTAGGGGTGTGTCTAGACTACAGGGTTTTGTCGACAAAAGTGGACTTTTGTCGACAAAACTATACCTGGGTCTACACTACTGCTGCGTTCTGTCGACATAAACCTCATTCTACGAGGATTAACGCCTTCTATCAACAGAGTTCTGTTGCCAGAAGGTGTTATTGCAGCTACACTGTCCTTTGCGTCTACACTCTCATGTCGACAAAGGGGCTTGCTTTGTTGACAGAACTGGCTGTAGTCTAGACGCTCTTTGTCGACAGAAGCTTTGTCGACAGTATCTGTCAACAAAGCCTCTGTCGACAAAAGCCTGTAGTCTAGACGTACCCTAGAGAGCTAATAATATCAGTATAGAGGTGGAAGACCTGGAAACAGCCATGTGGAATACAGACCCTGAGAATAAGACTTTGCCTCTACTCTGCTATGCTATTTATAGCCACGTCAGCTGGGCATGGAATGTCTGTTCTTTACATGCCACTGTAAAAGTAGATGAACTTTTACTTGCACTGTAAAATCTCTGGGGTGGGAGCTATCTCTTTGTTCTGTGTTTGGCCCCTCTGACACTTACATAATCAGAAATATTTAAAACATTAATGAATAACATAATGCTTTCTGTGGGCTGAAGTACTATCTTTTGTCTTGTATTAGGTTGTAGATTCTTTGGGAAAAGGGATGAAATTTACCTAATGCACTGTTTACCTTTTCAGTAGTAAAAGAACATTTTCTGATAATATTAGACTAGATGACTGACTTTTGCTAGTTTTAGAAATTCTAAAATCAATGTTAGAAGAGAATTTAAAAACAGATACACCAGGTATCCTGTAATATGTCTATGTTCTAAAAGCCTGTTCTCTAGATTAATCTCATTCAACTTGTCTTTAACTAAAGAGTTCTGAAAGACATCCAGCTGTGGACTGAATGTTCATATCCATGTTTCTGAACAGGAAAGAAAATAATTCGGAACCCTCTTCTTTTCTTGCTTTCAGTTCTGTATTTCACACTCCATAAGGGGAAACTTCAAGTTTCAAGGAGTACATATTTCTAGAGCCCTGCGCAGATACACATTTTATATCTGCAAAAATGAGCAGTGGATATCCATATCCACATCCCCGAATGTGGACACTTGCAGATATAAAGTGGATATCCACGGATTTGCAGGACTCTAAATACTTTAAATGTAAGAATCCAGGTTTTCCCTGAAATTCAGGGACCTTGGAAGGTCTGGCTTGAGCTGCATAGTACAGCTATGCTGGCTTACATCTTGTTCATGGTTTCCCCTTCTGGACAGAATGCTAACCCAAAGAAGGAGTGTTAGCGCTCCAGTGAATGCCAAATTAACACTTTAAATGAAATGCCACCAAGTGCTAGTCCCTCATAAACACATAGTGAGGCGTACAACATTATGATACATTAAGCTATAAATTGACCTCAGTAATAAAAGAGACTATTCCAACCAGACAAAAAAAGTTGTTTTCCCTGTTGATGTTGTTATAATATCCTTGATATTGACCCATTGCGCTGACAGGCTAATGAGTTTTCCCATAGGCTCCTGCCCTATAAACCCTCTAGCAAAGACTTCGCAAGCAGGGAAGTAAGTTACTCCTCATCCTCTTCAAGGCCTCATACCGGAGACCTCTTTTCAGCACAGAAGCAGGTCCCTTGAGAAGCCCAACAAGGTCACTTGTGAACCAGTCACAAGAGTTGTTGTAGACTAGAGAGAGGTACATCACTCCCAAATCCTTGGTGCCCTTTGGTGGACATCAAGCACTTTGTAGGATCAAGCCAGGCATGTGGGATCAAAATCATCCGTCTAGCTGAAAGTCACAGCTGCTGCATTTTTAGATCAAGTTCAAGATGACGCTTTAAAGCCTCCCCAAATGAATCAGACTTATTCAGCTTTGTATTGTACAAGTTCTAAAAGCCAGGCAAGGTCTATGGCAGATCAGTTTGTAGTCAAGCTGGGTTAGATTTTCAAAAAAAGAGTCTGCCACTACGGATATGCACCTGGCTGGCAGCGATTTCTCCAACCCAGACATTTCAGAGTTGAATCTTTTCATGCTCGGAGCAATGGGCACAGGGAAAAGGATGACACCAAAGGCTAGGCTGGCATATTTAGATCTGAGTGAGAAATGTTTAAAGTTTGATTATTTGCACCCATCACATGAATTCAAACATTTCATGACAGTTTGATCGTCCTGCAGATACCCACTTCATTCTGCCAGTCAGAAAGGAGCTCTTACCTCAGTGTCTAAATCTGTGCTAGCCCCAATGTCACTGCTGTGAGGGAAGTATTTTTCATCAGTCTCGACTGTCTGCCAGTAGAACCCAGCTGGCATTGCAAATGCTTTCTCCACAGCCTGAAATGCACAAAAGACAGCTTTTATTTGGGAATTATCTTGATCCTTCAAAGGCAGGAAGTGAAAAAGACAACGTTACGGTGAGAGAGCAGAAAAACGACAAAGGGTTGTACTCATTAGTTCAATATCATGGCATCATTTGCTCTGTTTACCATTAGGTGCAAGAACTCCTTAAAATGACATCCAGGAGCATGGACCTGTTACAATTGGTATCTTGGGAGAATGACCATAATTAGGGACCAACCGGCTACCATTCCATATGCAGCTCTCCCACAGACTTCTATGGGTCTTTTGTGCAGTGGGGAATGGCAGGATCCGACCTGCAAGCATGCCAAGCATTCGCCTGTCAGTGCGAGTGCTGAGCATCTCATGGCAAAGGGCTATATGGCGAGAGGAGTTGGATTAGCCAATTGCTACAAGAATGAAACCAAGGTCAGTTCTGCAACGTAAATCAAAGACCCCACATTTTGGGAGGTCCTGTTATTTCAGATGCAATCATTACTCAGGTAGACGTGGGGCGGGCCTACAGGCATTTCATTACCCAGCATTAACTACATGCTGCACTTTCTATTAGGACTTACACATTTTCTGTGCAGCAAACCAAGCAAACTGCAAGAGTGCAGTTTGAGCCTCTGTGCGTAAGGATGTGTCAGCTACTTCCCAGTCATAACAATTCGTTCTGGCTTGAAGATTAGCATGCAAGGATTCACCCCAAGAATTAATGCATCTCCAGGTCACGGGGGAGATTCTTATTGGCCAAGTTCTGGGTAATGGGACCAACTCTGATCCAAGTTATAGCAGTGTAAATCTAGAGTCACTCCAGAAATATCAGTGGCATTACATGAGATTTCCATGGAGCAGAAGTTAACTCTCTGACTAAAGAAAGAAATATCAGTTCTCAGCCAGATCTTCATCTGAGATGGACTCTAATTTACACCAGACATGAATATGACCCTTGAAGTTAAAATGTCTTTTGAGCTCAGATGCCACCAGAATGTATTCCATGGAAAAGAAATGATATTTCATGAAGGCATCATTCAGATTTTTATTATGGACACAGTTTGGGCTAATTATGCAAAAATCGGGCCATCCTGGTTTACAAGGTACATATAACACAGTTTAATTGTGTAAGCATTTGAGAGATACTCTGCTCTGGTGGATAAATAATATGGACTTTACGCCTTTCGATAAATGTTTAAAAACAGTAACAACCAAAGACAATGCATTTGAGTAATGTTAAAACCCCTCTGACACCTTCTGGTGCGGTGCTGTGCTGCTGCAGCAGCATTTAGTATTAGTTTTGTTGTTATTAATTATTATTATTATTATTAATTATTATTATTAACACTGTAAGAGTCATTTGCATGGAAACAGAATTCCGGGATCAGCTGGTGTTAACGTGCAGAACTCCATGGCGCAGCTGCTCTAAATTGGTAGGGTTCCACTGAAGTCAATGATGCTACCTCAATTTACACCAATGGAGGCTCTGTCCCTTTGTTTCTGCCCTGTGACACCATACTCCTTTGCTGTGGAAAATCTGATGAAACAGATGTGAGAAATCACTAACTTAAGGTAAAAAAAAGCCAGTCCCCACCAGTTTCTCTGTGCCATGCTAGTAGCAGCACAATGAAAATTAGTCCAGGCAGGCTGGGAAACCCCAGAGATCTCCTATTGCTGAGGCCCTGTGACGGAGTGAAGCAGCCCCTGAGGCTCCCTGCCAGAGGCACTGTGGTCCTGCCATACCCTGCTTCAGAAAGACAATAGAGAGGTCCTCCAAGGAGGCTAGAGTGGCTACAAAGGAAGCAGTCAATGAGGGGCCCAGAAGTCCCTATAAAAGGAGCTGCAGGACCAGTGTCAGTCAGTTCCTCTGGAGACCTCAAGCTGTGCAAACGAGTGACTATCTGGCTGAGAAAGTGGCAACACCATGGACAGCTCTGTATGGAGAGCTATTGGATACGGCTGGGCTATGTTGGGACTCTGAGATAAAGCCCTCAAAGTAAGGGCCAAGACGCTGTCTCCAGGTCAGGAAGCCCTGGGGGCACCAATCTCTGCCAGAGTGGGAAACAGACTGAGGGATACTATAGGGGGCACCTATTAGACATGTACCCAGGAGGGAGTTTATGGTTTCGCACACAGGGTGTGAGACTTGGTCGGAGGGCTGAGTTGCTGAAGAAGCTTCAAACGAGAGAGTGCCGGCACACACTTGGCTAGCGGGGGGCCTTTGTGAAAGGTGAGTGCCATCTTATTACAGGCCCTTTTCCCTGGTCTGCCTCCTGCCACCCCACTTCTGCTATTTAGTTCTGACCAGCAGATGGGAAGGTCCTGGGCAGCAGCTCTTGGGCAGGATTCCCATCTGGGGGCATCGTCTCTGGAAGGTCTCTGTGCTGCAGCATTGGTGAGTAGTTGTGTCTGGGTGATCATATCACTCCCACAATCACCCGTGCACACTCCATTGCACGTGGGCAAAGTGTCCCTCAGAAAGAGACCTTGCCAGCACCATTGTGCGACTGGAGATCCCTGCTCTCCCCCTCTTGTTCACGATGATTAAACAATCCAGTTTATTGTAGGAAATCCTTTATTTTGCTCATTCTTGACTGCCTGCCATCCTCCCACCAGATTCAGGGTGGCCCTAGGAGCACTGTTGGTGCTGTCGTGTCTCTGAATGCACACAGAGGCATCCCTTGTACAAGAGCTGTGGCAGTGCTGCATGCATGCAGGCTGACCCTGGCACAAAAACTCCCGCCATGAATATTCAAGGAAGCAGAAGAAACGGTCAAAGCAAACTTGATCCGGAATGTGGCCACATCTCCATGGAAACCTTTCTCGCTATTCACCCAGCTCTAGCTAGGACACAGCCCAACCCAGCTTAGGAAACTCGAGGGAGAGGCTGACTCTCAGCTTGCCCCCAGGGTAGGAATCTTGAGTGTCAGTTTCCATTTCTTGTGTTATTTCACTGTCTTTGAGTTGCTTAAATCAAATGAGCCAAGCCTTGCCTCATTTACACGTCTGCAGCCTCAAGTAAGGAAGAAATTGTGTGTGGGGGGAGGGGGGTGTAAATAAGGGCAGGTTCAAAGGACATGCAGTCTGTGTCAGGATCAAGGATCAAACCGAAGTAATGTGTAAAGGGGTATAAGTGACAGGAAAGCAGGTCCCTCGGCCCCATTAAACCAGATTCCACATCATAACCAAAAACCGCCTGTAACCGCTAGTGAAGGTGGGCGAGAGTCTCTATGTTCTGCCACTTTGCACCACTCACGGGATGCAAAGCGGAGGGAGCTGGCCTTCAACGGCTGCTGAGAATTCCCATGCTAGGAGAGCTCTCTGCTGGGACGTGACAGAATCAACAGCTCCTCCGCCAAGGGTACGTCTAAACTACATGCCTCCGTCGACGGAGGCATGTAGATTAGCCAGATCGGCAGAGGGAAATGAAGCCGCGATTAAAATAATCGCGGCTTCATTTCCCTCTGCCGATCTGGCTAATCTACATGCCTCCGTCGACGGAGGCATGTAGATTAGCCAGATCGGCAGAGGGAAATGAAGCCGCGATTAAAATAATCGCGGCTTCATTTCCCTCTGCCGATCTGGCTAATCTACATGCCTCCGTCGACGGAGGCATGTAGATTAGCCAGATCGGCAGAGGGAAATGAAGCCGCGATTAAAATAATCGCGGCTTCATTTCCCTCTGCCGATCTGGCTAATCTACATGCCTCCGTCGATGGAGGCATGTAGTCTAGACACACCCCAAGTGTCCCACATAGAGGTGTCAGAGGCAAAGCAGGACATAGTAGAGTGAGTCTCACTCAGCATATGGTCCCTGGAGGACTACGGGCAACTGACAGAAATTACAGCGGCCCCAAAGCTGCGCTGACTTACGCTGAGGCTGGAGCAGTCTCATTATCTCCCTGACAGCCCCTTCCCAAGCAGACCTAGGCTCAGGAAAAAAGCCCACAGTGTTATTTGTAATATGACCAAGGAGCCTACAGTTCCTAGCTGGTGGCGTCGTGTGTTTTTCTTTAGAATTGTCAATTCTCTCGGTTGTTGTTCGGAGCCACACTCTGATTTCTGTCACCTGAAGGCACGGGAGAAGACTGCTCTGTAGCAGAGCCGACACGGCACATAAACATGACTTTTGCTTTAAAAACCCATTTAAAAGCAACTCGGAGCCACTGTTTTGTTTCAGACAAGCTTGCGCAGATGAAGCCAGACACAGTTAGGAGAAGGGATTTCACAGCAGGAAATGGACTGTAAAATACAGAGCAGAAACAATGCAAGCAGGAAGCCTAGTTACTCGGAGAGTCCTCCAGAATACAGCCAGCTCCACTATTTCCCTTCTTGGAGGTAGTATGGTCTTCTGAACTCATTCCCCACAAGAACTAAGGAAAAGGTTTGGCCGTTACATTATCTCAAGAGAATCTGAAAAGAATCTTCATGCCACAAACAGACACTACTAGCTGAGAGCTGGTTCCCAGCCCCAGCAGGGAGGAGCACTAGCTACTTCCGCATCTCATCCCCAAAGCCTTTGGTGCTTCCCAGCATGAGACAGCCCCAGCCTCAGCCATCCATCCTTTCCCCAAAGAAAAGCTGCTCAAATCCCCCATGAGAAAGTCACCGGCTTTCCCCTTCCCCTCCACAGGAGTGGGTGTCTCAAAGAGCTCTCCTAGCTCCTTCACATCATCCGCTTTAACAGGGTGAATTGTCTGCACCAGCTCATGCAGCATCACTGGGTTTAAGCCAAGATGAGTGGCAGGGCATTGACAAGGCAGCTGCCAAGCCCAGCTGTGCAAATGCCATTGGCAGTGAGAGTCTCGACAGCATTAAAGGAAGGGTCACTACCCCAGGCACTGAAAGCTGGTGCAGAGGCCCCAGCAGTGAGACATAGTCGAGACCCGTGGCTCATGTAGCACAGAAGACCAGATGTGCATCGCAGGGACTTCAGAGTTACATGGCAGGGACCCTGGATTTGGGACATGCTGCTAAATTCTCTCCTCTCTCTGCCGCCA